GCCCTGGGAGCCCAGTCCCAAAGCCAGGAGTTCCACTGGGGTTTTGCAATCAGCACCCAAGTGATAAGCTTGGCTTGTTCTCAGCACACTGAGAGTCCTTATTCATATTTAAATTAATTTCAGCATTGTCTGGGGCTAAATGAAACATGGACTTTCTAAGAGATCTTCTCCTCACTGGAGCCTTTGGATTTCAGTGCTGCAAAGGGAATGTGCAAGGCTGTGCACTGTACACAGTTCCACTGCATATAAACAAATAAAGAGGCATATTATATATACACATAAATACAGTTATATATACAAATAAAGATGTGTATTTCACATATACAGAGGTATATAATACAGGTAGGGTATATTAGACCTCTGCACATTGCCCTGGCTCTGAGCTGTAACTGCCACAGTTCCTAAGAAGCACCTTGAATGCAGCTGAGCACCAAGATAAATTCGTGTGCCATGAACCACTGCACACGTACTGTTTGCCTTAATACTGTTGAACTAGACCCTGAAAACCAAAATTATCTGGATTGTCAGCTCTACACAGCCCCTACACTCACCTGTGCATGTGCCAACAGCCTGTCAAACACACCAACTTTTGCAGAGAGACTGGAAAAAGCTGTAATTTGGGGCAGGATGGAGCTCAGAGCTCGACCCTGCAAGGCTGTAAGGACAGGTGACATCACTGAGCCTGCTCAGGTACAGGAACGTGGTTAATCACAGCTGGATTCAGACAGAGCCTGAGCCACACTGAGCTCCCTCCTCCTGGGGAATCAGCACATCAGAGCTCTGCAGACACACAGCCCCTCCACACAGCCCAGCTCTGCAGGGCCTGGCCCACGGGACACCCAAATCCTGCTCACACCACGAGCAGCGACAACTCTGCAATCCCAACTCAGAATGCGACATGTCTGGTTCTGCCTGAGGTGAAACAACCCCCATTCACTCCTCCACAGCTCTGCTACCACCATTAGTCACATTTTTGGCTTGACAGCGAAATGCATGCGTAAGAATACAAGACTTTAGAAGTTCTATAGTAGTTGCACTTTAAGATCACTTTTAATATTGTAAAATACGCCCAGGCATGAAACCTGGATAATGGAAATGAAAGTTTCTTGTCTTTCCAAGCCATCCCATTCTGAAGACAGATCCACTGTAGAAAGAACATCAATATTTCAGTGGAAATGAGTTGTAGGTTCTTTGAAAGAATCAGAATAATACTTCTATAATATTGATATATCATACAGAAAGGAATAAAACTAGCTGCATTTAAAGGTCTCCTGATTAAAGCCCAGGGATCTGTGGCATTGCTGGTCAACACAAACCAGCCAAAAGTGCTGAAATGGATTTGTGCTCTCACTGCCCTACCTGAAGGAACCCAGGTAACAGAAAACAGCAGAGAAAAAAAAAGGTAAAACCAGATGAAAAATAGATGACACCTGTGTAACAAGTCAATTACTGAGCTGCTTCTCCTGCCCACAAAAAAAATCAGCAAGGTGCTCACCTGTACCAGGGCTGGGGGGCAGTGTCCAGGTCGGGACAGGCCGAGGGGACGGTTCCTGCACCCAGAGGGGCCCCCAGCACCGAACACTCCTGGTGTCGCTCCGGGCCCGGCTCTGCCAGGCCGGTGCTGCCCCGTTTTAATGTGCCCAGGGACTGCCCCAGCCTGGCTCCAGCTCAGCCCAGCTCCACCTGAGCCGTGCCTCCTGGTTAATCATTGGGCATTGCTTCACTCCCCAGCCCAAAACGGCGACACCAAACCCCCTGCGAAGCCCTCTGGGTTCAAACCTCCGGAACTCCCTGCACACTGCTCCCTCCTGGGGCAGTTTGGGCTCCACAGCTCAGCAAGGAGACAAAGCTGTGGGAGAGTGTCCAGAGGAGGGACACGAGGATGGGGAAGGGTCTGGAAGGGCCACACGAGGTTGGATCTCAGGGGGGGGTGGCTGGCACTGAACAGGCTCCCCAGGGCAGTGGGCAGGAGTTGGACTGGGTGGTCCCCGTGGGTCCCTCCCAGCTTAGGACATTCTGTGATTCTATGAATGTATGGCCACAGGGCAGAGGCTCTAGGGAGCTGGTTTGCACATTTATTGTATTGACATTACACATATGAACCTCAATTTACAAGTGGAAGAGATGCTTCCCAGGTCTCCTCCAGTACAATATGTCTGTGCCAACTCCAAAAATCACAGAATCACAGAATATCCTGAGCTGGAAGGGACCCACAAGGATTACAGAATCCTGGGTCAGAAGGGACTTTAAAGCTCATCCAGTCCCACCCCCTGCCATGGGCAGGGACACCTTCCACCAGCCCAGGGTGCTCCAAGCCCCGTTCAACCTGGCCTTGGACACTGCCAGGGATGGGGCAGCCACAGCTTCTCTGGGCAACCTGTGCCAGGGCCTGCCCACCCTCACAGGGAAGGACTTCTTCACAGTACCTAATCAAGTCCAACTCCTGCACAGACACCCCAACAATCCCACCCTGTCCCTCAGAGCATTGTCCGAGCCCTCCTGGAGCTCTGGCAGCCTTGGGGCTGTGCCCACTGCCCTGGGGAACCTGTTCAGTGCCAACCACCCTCTGGGGGAAGAACCTTCTCCTGAGATCCAACCTAACAGAGGCCAAAAAGAAGCCTGTATTTACAGTTCTCCTAGTTTGCTAAAACACTCGAGACTGTCTGAGTCCCGCTGTCTTTGAGAGAATTCGGCATCACTTAAACCAGTTTGCTGAGTGTTTCCCGCCTGCTAAACCCAGAACACACTCCACTCACACTCTGGATGCTTTTTTTTTTAACGAGGCATTTTTCATTTTAAACTTCCCCGAGAAGACTTTTGAGAGAAGACGCCGCGGAAAGGCGAGGCAGGGAACCATTCGGTCTGGCTCCGCAAACCCGCTTTTTTTTTACAACTTCACCACAGCTCCGGAGCATCCCCGGGGGTGGGGCGGCCCCCTCGGCACAACCAGACCCGAAGTCTACACCCGAGATCCTGAAATTGCCCCCACCCCGGGGGGGTTGGGAGAGGGATGGGATGGGATGGGATGGGATGGAGCAGGGGATGCGCTCCCCGCCGCCCACGTGTTGTTCCACCGGGCTGGGGGGCGCGGGGCGGCCACGGGACCGGCGGCACCGGGGAGGGAACCGGGAGCGGAAAGGCACCCACATCGGTGCCTCCATCTCCCACCGGCTCCTCCCGGTACGCCCCGTTCCACCCCGCCAGCCCGACCGGGCACGGCATGGCCTGGCACGGCATGGCCCCGGCCATCCTCCCCGGCGCTCGGCCAGCTCCCTCCCCAGCCCCAACCACGCAGCGCCGCGAAGCTTCCCCCCTCACCACCCCGACCCCTCACGGTGTGTGTGTCCCCCACCCTCCCCTCACGGTGCCCGCCCCGCCCTCACCTCACGGTGCCGGTGCAGCGGAGCCGCCGCCGGGCCCCGGGCCTGGCGCTCCCGCCTGGGCCACGCCCCCTCGGCCACGCCACGCCCCCCTTCCCCGCCTGGGCCACGCCCCTTTCGGTGGTGTGATCGGGGTTACTTCAGGTCAGGGCTTCGGAGTGGGCCACGCCCCCTGGTGAGCGAGGCGCGCTCCCATTGGCCGGCGGGCGGAGGGAGGGGGCGGGGGGGCGCGGCCGCGCCCCCCCGCCCCCTCCCTCCGCCCGCCGGCCAATGGGAGCGCGCGGGGGGCGGGGCCACGCGTGGCCTGAGATGGGGGGGGGACACACCCCTGGGATACGGGACCCCCCCAACCCCAAAATCGGGACCCCGAATAGGGATCGGTGATCCAGGGACTGCGGGAAAGGCTGAGGGAGCTGGGCCTGCCTGCTCAGCCTCGGGGAGGAGACACCGAGAGAGAGAGAGGGGATCCCAAACGGGTGGAGGGGTCAAGAGGATGGGCCAGGCTGTCTGCTTGGGGATAACGACAGGAATTGACGCCCAAGGAGTTCCACCTGGACATGAGGATGAATTTCTTTGTTGCCTTTAACTGGGGGTGTTCCAGAACCATGCCACGTGCTCTGGGATGGCCCTGCTGGAGCAGGGATGGGGGGAGAAGGACCAGAGAGGACACTGTGGGTTCCCTTTTCCAGCCTGACCCCCTCCTTGTGATGACCCCAGCCCGGCCAGGTCCTCGCCCATGAGAGCTCCGCGTGGCTGCTGCCCTGTCCCCTCTCCCTGGCACAGGCAGGGGACAAGAGCTGATAACAGGTGGCAAGGACACGCTGCCAGCGCCTTTCCTGCCCGCCTGTGACCTTTAGCAGCCTGCGCTGCAAGACATCCCAGGGATTAAAGAGCCACCCCTCCTCCTTTTTCCTTTTTTTTTACCTTTTCGGTTTTATTTGAACTCTGAGGCTTGGTGCAGTTGAACTGGGATAAGTAACGCAAGTTTAGCTGCCAATGCTGCCGGGTCTTGGTCGCCTGTGCAGGCTGATCCTGCTGGAATCCAGGGGGTAAAAAAGCCCAAGGACCTGCACAAAGAGCTTTGGGGGCTCTTCCAGCAGTCCTCAGGCAGGGCCCATCACTGCAAGCACTTCCAGGGGATGGAGCAGCCACAGCTCCTCCTGATGGGGAAGTTGGGTTTTCCTGTGTCATTTATATTTGTGGGTTCTCTATTCCTGCACTTCACACAAAGGGTGATTGCAGGTGTGAGAGGACACTCCTGACAGAGCCCACCTGGCTCTGGGACAGCCTCAGGCTCACAGACACTTCAGCAGCAGGAGTGGTGACAGAAGAGTGAGTTTCCTGAGCCACACACTCCAGTGCCAAACTCCAGGCAGTTTCTTTTTAAGATGTGTTTCAAGATCGAGGCAGTGTTAGAGGGTGTGAGACCGTGCTCGGGCAGGAAACTACCCTCACTTGGGAGCACGTGTTGGGATATGTGCCTGCTGCAGGCAGGAATTACACAGCCAGAAAATCTGATTTGGGGCTTTGTAGCTAATAAAATTACTGAGGGAACAGACCATGTTCTCACAACCATCCATCCAGACCAAATCTGGAAAATTCCGGCATGGACGCTTTTATTTATAGATACAAATGTGTCTTTCACATAAAGAATCCTGCTCTGGTGAAGTATTTTTTGCGAAGGAGCTAAAAGAGAAAAGCTGTCAATCACCCCCAGTCCCAAATCCCAGCTCCTGCAGAAGTGAGGGGGAGTGCTTGGCTTGCTGAGGGATTGGTCCCAAATCACTGATAATAACTACATAGAGACCTTACAAAACCAGGGATTACGACAGGTGCTGAGTTCATCCTGGCTGGTGCTCCCAGAGCTCCAGGCGTGCTAAAACCTGCACCTGCACACGGCCTGCGTGCCCTGCCCAGCCAGGCACCAGCACTGGCCAAACGCTGCGGGGGGAGGGATTGCTTCACACCCCGAAATCCTGCCCAGCTCTCCCATTCAAGGGCAGAGAGAGGCACGGACACGTGAGAAACAGCAAGTTCAGTGCATTAACCTGAGAAACCCGCGGGTCTGGAAGGTGATTTTTTGGGGCTATGAGGATGGTGAAGGGTCAGGGGAAGCCGTGTGAGGAGTGGCTGAGGGCACTTGGTGTGTTCAGCTGGAGCAGAGCAGGCTGAGGGGAGACTCGTGGGGGGCTCCAGGAGGGGCAGCTCCGACCCCTGCTCGGTGTGACAGGGACAGGACCCCAGGGAACAGCTGGAGATGTGCCAGGGGGGGTTAGGTTGGATATTAGGAACAGGTTCTTCCCCCAGAGGGTGAGCAGGCACTGGAACATCACATCACAGGGCAGGACAGTTGTCTATAGCCTGTATACATACAGCAGAGAATAGATCCCCAAACATTCCATAGGCTAATTCTACACAAGCAAATAAAAGCTCTGGGCTTTATCTTTCCCACCTGCTCTCCCCACTGAATCCAGCAAAAAATCTCAGCTCACAGTGCAGAGGTGGTGGTGGGACACTCCCTAGGAGGAAATGCGATTTCAGAGCAATTACCACACGTGATTTGGAATATACTGCAGGGTAAGCAATACCCAGCAACGACTACTGGCCATGCTGAATCAAATCCCATATTTGGGACAGCTGGGGGTTTTGCTGTGACTGACATGGGAGCAGAAATGGCCCAAAATGTCCCTCAATTCTTGACCCAAATAGTTGCAAAGAATTAGGTAAAAATGTGTTCAAGTTCCTTCGTGGGAAGGGCTGTCAGGCAGCACTAATCTGTGTTTCAATACAAACACACAGATTCACAAAGTTCAGACACACTTTCCAATAGTTTTACTGGATTTTGAATCATAATCACATTCTGCTTTGGAGAAGGGGTGGTTAAATCCATGCCTTTTCCTATCATGCCCAGAAATTGGACACAGGGCATTATTTACTCTCATTCCATGACTTACAAGCACGTGCACTGTGAACACGTGCCACTCCATCGTCTCAAAATAAGGAAGTTTAGCCTTAGTAAAGCAGGTAAATAAACTCCAAAAAAATACAGGGAAAACGATTTTACCTTTCATGACGCCAAATTCGGGTTCCTCCTCTCCTCCCCAGGCTCTGATAACATCCCCAGTGCAAACACAGGGCAGATCATCCCAGGTGAGCGGGGTCGGTGACACTTCCAGCCTGGCACTGCTCATGCCCTGGCAGGCAAGTCATGGAGAGAAAGGTCAGATCCTTTCTTAAAGCAAAATCATGGTGTAGCTATTTAAAAACAAAAAAGCCTCAGAAATGGAATGTCAGTCTTCACAACGCTCAGTCTGCCTGTTTTCAGGGACAAGCACTCACACAGCACCTCATTCTCTCCAGGTGAGCTGCCATCACTAACACAGTTCACGAGACGGGCTGTTCCTGGGCCCAGGTGTCCCAGCAGCTCCAGGAAGTGCCCCAAATCCTCTTGTAAAGCTGCAAAGTCTCAGCATTCCCAGCCCGGGAAGAGAAGCTGCAGAACAAATGAGAAAGTGAAAGTGAACATCCAGTAACGGTACAGACAAAAAAGGCATCAAAAATAAACATTTGTCATTATTTGTAATCTGATTCTCCTTCCAATATTTTTGCACTTTTACAGACTGAATTCTGCATTCCTAAAGATTGCTCTGTCTTGAGCAAATTGCATAAAAATTAGTGATTATAGAAATACAGCTTAAAAAAAGGATACTGAAGTGAAGTGTATGAGGGTAAATTTATCAGGAAGCCCTCCTGGGCATGGAATAGATCCAGTGTTCCTCATATCAGCCATGCTACTGGAAATTCCCAAACTACCTTATCTTTTCACACCTTTACTATAGTGGGGTTTGTGTTTTTTTCTCAATTCTACTCTTGGCTTTTCAATTCTATATGGAAAAAATCAATGAACTAAAGCAGCTGAATACAATGAAATAAAAAACCTGCAAGAGTGCAAAGAGAATCTGTTTTACACCACCTGATAGACTGTAAATATTAAATATTTATACTAAAATCCATCCTGACCCACCATGAATATCTGAACTAAACAGGCATGCAAAACAAACACTGACACACAAGCCCTTGAGGCTCCCCATTTGCTCTCGTTTTAAACTTAAACATCTTAAATAATACCAATGCTTATGGAAAAGTTTTCAGGAGTCTCTGGAGTCTCAGCCACTTGAAATGTTGGCGGTTATTTGTGACTGAACAGAAATACTTCATCCTTCTGTGCTTGGGGACACAAACCTGTGGTTACTCAGCATTTCAGAGCCACGAGCTCTGCAGGAAAAGGTGATTTCCATCGCCCCCGTGTGTCTAACGCAGCAAACGCCGATTTTTTCCAAAAAAAATCCACCCCACAGCCCGGAGAAATCCCACCAGGACTTTGTGATTCACCTGCAGACAGCAACCTAATAATGGTGTTCCCACTTCTTTCTGTATGTGTGGCCTCTGGGTTTGGTGGGCACAGGTGCCCCCCAGAGCTGCTGTGTTTCACCTGGGGCTCAGCCTGGGCAGGGAAGCAGAGGGAAGCACACCTACCTTCATTTCCTAAGCAGTTTTAGCCTTTATCACTAACCAAAAAGCCCCAAGTGTTCTGGGCCCAGCCTGCCTGGCACCACCCTCTGCCCGTGCCAGAGCTCCGGTGGAAATCCCGCCAGCGCCTGGGAGATAATCCATCCCTTCACCCGCCAAAAATCACACACCCCTCAACTGTTACAGGGACTTTTCAGGAAGAAATGGTCTCAGAGAACCCTTTTCATCTGAAAACATCCCTCACCTTTCCCTCACCTCTTCCTGGGAACAGCAGGAGCCAGCTGTTCACCCATATGCTGATTCCTTCCATTAACCACCCAGAGTCTTAATTCCCAGATGCAGGAAAAACCTGTTAGCACAAGCAATAAATATTGCACTGACATTCCAAACTCTGCCTCTCCCAACTTCTAATTTTTTTCTCATAATTTTTCACACGCATTTGGAGCACTGGGCAAAAGGAAAAGGAAATAAGTTCTGGGTATTTTTAGTCTTGCTGTTAAACAGTTCCAACAAGGGGCATAGGTGAACAAGAGAGAAGGGCTTCAAACTGATACAGAAGAGGGTTAGACTGGATATTAGGAAGAAATTCTTGGCTGTGAGAGTGATGAGGCCCTGGCACAGGTTGCCTGGAGAAACACTGGCTGCCCCATCCCTGGAAGTGTCCAAGGCCAGGCTGGACAGGGTTTGGAGCAACCTGGTCTAATTAATACCCAATCTAAACCTGCCCTCCTTCAGCTTAAGGCTTTGTGTAAGCATAAAGTATTTGAGATCCCTGAAATACTGGTTACACTGCCAGCACCAGGGCACCATAAACAGAGGATGATTTTGTGTTAAACCCCATTTTATCTCAGCATCACTGTCACAATTGCCCCAGGCTGCCCTTGGGAACTCAGCACAGCACACGAGGCCACGTGGAGGTGACAAGGGACAGCAGGAGGTGTGAGAGCCCCTGTGCCAGGAGGCCTGTGCAGGCTGTCTAACACCAACAGCTGTGGCTGTTTCAAACAAAGCAACCCGGCGAATCGTTCCCAAGCTTTGGGGGTTTATGCAAGACTCGTTAAACCCTGCTCAAGCCCCTCCACAGCCCAAGCCCACGAGTACCTGGCTCGCACAGTGCAAGGGGAAGCAGCAGGGATGGCACTGGAGAGCCCTTTCCCCATGAAAATCAGACAAGATTTCCCTTTGCTACCTCAGGAACTGAAAGGACGAGCCTGAAAGGGTGAACAACGTCGGGAACCATTGGAAGGAAGGCTGGTGTAGTGAATGTGGTGGGGAGAGCGCGGGTTCCCCCCCTCAGGGGGGCCCTGGGGACGGCGGGGGCTATGCCGTGCGGGACACCCGGCTGGCTCTGGCCCCTCGGAGATCCCCAGGACACCCTCCCGACCCCCCCAGGACACCCTCCCGACCCTCCAGGACACCCTCCCGACCCCTCCCGACCTCCCCAGCCGCCCGGGCTGTCCCGGCTCCCTCAGCCCCGCTCGGGGCGGGGCGGGCCCTGCGGCTCTCCCGGCACCCGCCAGGGGGCGCCCGCGCCCCGCCCGGCCCCGGCGCGTGCGCACGGCGGGGCGCGCGCGGGCCCGACCCGCCGCCCCGAGCGAGGTGAGGGAGGCGGCCCTGGCGGGGCCCGCGAGGGGCGGCGGGGGCAGCGGGGAGCCGGGGCCGGGCCGGGCAGGGCCGGGGGCAGCGCGGAGGGCGGTGTCCCGGCGGCCGGCGGGACGGCGAGGGGGAAGCGAGAGCGGTGCCGGCGGCGCGGGAGCCTCGCGGGCCGCGCCGGGGCCGGGAAGGGGCGGGGCCGCGCAGGGGGCGGGGCCTCGGGGGGGCGCCCCCTGGCGGGGATGGAGGGAAGGGGCGGCCGGGGCTGAAGGGGGAGTGGGGATGTGGGATTGGGATTGGGATGTGGGGAGTGGGATATGGGGAGTGGAATTGGGATATGGGGAGTGGGATTGGGATATAGGGAGTGGGATGTGGGATTGGGATATGGGATGTGGGATGTGGGATTGGGATATGGGATGTGGGATTGGGATATAGGGTCTGGGATATGGGATGTGGAATTGGGATATGGGGAGTGGGATTGGGATATAGGGTGTGGGATATGGGATGTGGGATTGGGATATAGGGAGTGGGATTGGGATATGGGATGTGGGATTGGGATATAGGGTCTGGGATATGGGATGTGGGATTGGGATATGGGGAGTGGGATTGGGATATGGGGAGTGGGATATGGGATGTGGGATTTGACTAAGGAGAAGCCTGAGCCAGTCGCTGTGAGACACATCAGAGATCCCACACGGAGAGCAGCTCATTCCCTGGCCGTGGAATGAGTGTAGGCCCTCCCTGTGCAGCAGCTGGTGGATCAGGCTGTCTGTGGAAGCTACCCCTGCCAGCACTGACGTGGTGTTGGCAGGAGCAGGGCAGTGTTTGCACTGCTGGGTGCAAATCCTCAGTCTGGGACTGTGTCCCCATCCCATCTCCCCGTGTTTGATTCCTTCTCATTCCCGGAGAACAGACCCTCAGCCCCGGGAATGGTGTCTGGAGGCTGTGACAGCCCTTTTGCTTTCTGTTCAGGATCTCCTGGGAGGGTCTCCCCCTGGGGGGGGTGCGGAAGAGAATTCCCTTTGGGCACTGTGGCTGGGACAAGGCAGGACAGGTTTCACTCCCAGGAGCAGGAGCAGCACCCAGGGCAGCAATGGAGCACCTGGCCTCCTTCAGCAGTAAGTGCCAGCAGAGAATTAACCCCCCAGAATTTTCTGCTCACAGAAAACCAGGCACAGGGGTTTCTCAGAGCTGTGGGATTTTGTGATCACCACCCCTGGAAGTGCTCAAAAATGTGGGGATGTGGCACCTGGGGATGTGGTTTAGTGGTGAAAACAGCAGTGCTGGGTTAGAGGTTGAACTCAACTCAGAGGGCTTTTCCAACCCAAACAATTCTGTGATTCCATCACATTTGGAAAGGGTTTGCCATTGTATTAAGAAATCAACAGCCATGGGGGAGGGAGACAAAAACCAGCAGGATTTGGTCCACAGAATCACTTCTTTGTCCAAATTCTCAAGAGCACAAGGACTCAAATGATTCAGTGGGAATTTGGATCTTATTTCTACCTACTTCTAATAGTTGAGCTGGTCCAAACCCATTTTCTTGGAAAAAAATCATAGAGTCATGGAATCCTGGAATGGTTTGGGTTGGAAGGGACCTTAAAGCTAATCCAGTCCCATCCCCTGCCATGGGCAGGGACACCTTCCACCAGCCCAGGTTGCTCTAAGCCCTGTCCAACCTGGCCTTGGACACTTCCAGGGATGGGGCAGCCACAGCTTCTCTGGGCAACCTGTGCCAGGGCCTGCCCACCCTCACAGGGGAGAATTCCTTCCCAGTATCAAATCTAACCCTGCTCTCTGTAAGTTTGAAGCATTACAACCTCACAGCCTGTTTATTTTGACCACTTTGCCATGAACAAAATCAGAAAAACTCACAGGGCAGTTTCATTCCTTGTTGAGAACCTGAGCAGAGCCTGAGGTTTGGACAGGTTACAACGATCCTGCTGATGCCTTTGCAGCCTCAGCAGTGTGCTCTGTGAGTGCAGCTCGAGGCACGGGGATGGGGAGTGCAGCTGCTGCGCAGAATTCTCTGCAAAGAAGGTCTGGGCACTGGTCTTTGATGCAGAAGATGAGCACAGGATCAAACCAGGCAGCTGGTGCAGCACTGCTGAGCTGTACCAGGAGACTGCTGCACAGGAGATTTTCCTTTGGGTCCCTTGCACAAGTTTGGGTTTAGCCCTCAGTGTTTCGGGCCTGGCAGAGATGCAGTGCCAACAGCTCTGTTGCAACTCATGCTGAACGAGGAATATTTAACATATTTGCGGAAGCTGCAGTGGGAAAGAGATTGTACTCTGAAAATTCATAGGATTCACTGAGCTGAGAGGGGCCCACAACTCCTGGGGCTGGGCACGAGTGAATTTAGGTGGTGCCAAACGAGTGCCTGGCTTGTGTTACACGAGGCTTTCCTCTGGTTTCCCAGATGACCCCTTTGACAAGCCCCCCTGCCGAGGCTGCTCCTCGTACCTCACGGAGCCCTACGTGAAGTGTGCCGAGTGTGGGCCCCCTCCCTTCCTCCTGTGCCTGCAGGTGAGTGCCAGCAGGAGAGCAGAGCCACCAGTTCCTCTGAGAAAGCCATCAAAGGCCTGGCTGGTGCCAGGCTGTCCATAAACACATTAATAACCGGGCTCTCTAAACCTGTACCAACACTCCTGTTTGCTCAGGGACAGGGAAACGACAAAGGGAGTGTGGAGGGTGAGGAATGGAGGCAGGAGCAGGTGAAGGAGGTCTTTGTGCAGCAGCCAGAGACGTGCAGTCAGCCTGGCTGGAGCCCAGCCTGCTGCTGCACGTCTGGGGGAGGAGCATTTCTGTCATTTTTTTATGGCATGGAAAAGAAAATCCATCCAGAAACACCCTTCCCCTTGTCCACACGCATTTTTGCCCACTCCCAAAACAGAAAAGGAAAATCTGCAATATTCACATTAACTGTTCATAACCAGATGCAGTTCTTTCAAAGTTATGTGTGTGATCTGACAACCCCAGAAAGTACTGCTGGTTTAGTTATTAAATGAATGTTTGTAGTATTATTATTGTTATTAAAAATGGGCAATAACTTCTAAAAAGGAGCTGAGTCTTGTGCTCAGGTATGGACAAAATACACAAAACCCTATTTTATATATTGGGTGTATTTTTGCTCATTTACCTTACTTAAAAAAAACCCAGAAATTTAACTGTTAAAAATAGCTGCAAACCATGCTGGTGCTTTTAATCAGAAAACCAAGATTAAAGGGAAACTCTGTTTTCAATACTTATTAAATGCTCTTTGTTTTCTCCCTGAAACAATCAACTTTACAATATAACACCAAATTTTTTTTTCAGCTGCCTGACTTTGCCATAAATACTCCTCAAAAAAATTTGGGATTCAGAGGAGTTATGGCTGAGGGCAAAAGACAGGCAAGGTACCAAGACTAACACAATTTTAACCCAGATCTTTCCACCATTTGGTGGGATTTCTAACATTACATCAGAAAAAAATTGAATATATCAGGTGGGAAGGTTTGGATACCCAGTAGTCAGAGAATAAAAGGGAGAAAGGGAGCAGTGAAAATGCTTTCAGGGCAGAAGTAAGAGCCCAACATAATGCTGATCTTTTGTTCTGCAGTGTTTCACCCGAGGATTTGAATACAAGAAACATCAAAGTGATCACACCTACGAGATAATGGTAAATATTCCTTTTGGATAACACCTGCTCAGTCCTGAGCTTTCACAGCTTCCCAGGAGTGAGACACTTGCTTACTAATATTACCTTGAAAGGTTAAGTGATGCAATTCTCTGATTCAAAGGTTTAGAACAATTAAAAAAAAAAAAAAAAAAAAAAGAAAAAAAAAGGAAAAGAAAAAGTCTTCCTTGATTGCAAAGAAAAATCCCCCTGGAACATAATGGAATAGTGGAGTCATTTAAAGCTGCATTTTTGATTGTGCCTGCATAGCACAGTGCACCTCACTAGACTTCCAGTTCTTTACCCGTGTAAATCAACCTCTGTTTCCCTATTCTTGTTTTTATTTCCCCCAAATTAATAGTTTTTAAATTTTCAGCAATTTTTGCTGTGTTTCACAACATAGCATTGTGGAATTACAGCTGAGAGGTGCAACATGGGCCAGGGTTTGCTGTGGTTGATGCCCCAGTGCCCTAAATAATTCAGCAGTTATTCCCTCAGGTTTTATGGGACACAGTGAAGGTTTAAATCTACCAGAGTTACCTGCTGTGCTGCCCTGTGGTCTAGAGCTCCTTTGCTCTTCCTGAGGTGGATGATGACAGAGGGTCACAGCAGTTTGATCTGCCTTTCTCTTCCCTAGACATCCGATTTCCCTGTCTTGGACCCCAACTGGACAGCTCAGGAGGAAATGTCTCTCCTCGAAGCTGTGATGGACTGTGGATTTGGGAACTGGTGAGAATTCAGTGATTCAGCCAATTTCAGTGAATAATGGGCAGTTTTTCCTTTCATTTCCCTGGATCTCACTGTTGAACACACCAGTGCACTTTGAAAGTTCAGTGGTTTATTGTGGGTGAGACTAATTTAGCAGCTAAGGTGGAAGGCTGAGGTTCCAGATCCTGTTTTCTGAAGTTATTTTTCTTCTCCTTCATGAAAAAATAACTGTATTAAAAGTACAGAACCCCAGCATTCCCTGAAACAGAACTGAGAGTTCCTAGGTGCATCTTGCTGCCAGAATTCAGACTGAGAACTGGTTGCAATGTGCTGTCGAGTACACTTTGCTCTGCTTAGCAATACAAATAATCTTC